TTCATATGAAGCAGAATTTATTCAAAATATTATACATGAGAAGATGATACATGTAACACTTCCTGTGGCCTTCGACTCGACAATTATCGACGATGTATTATCAATTACCACTAGTTACTTTCATTCATATCCAGACACGAGATACCCAGTGAGCTTGAGATTATTAGTTACATAGCTTTGTAGTGACAGGTATGAAATTTACTAACCAGGTATCACCCCGTACCCTGTCACTACAAAACTATGTAACGAGTTTACCTCACCGATAAAATATTTATGCATTGTCTGTGGTTTGTAAAAGTGTTTTTCTCACTATGTATATGTTTCATCACTCATACAATGCCTATTAGGACGTCACATTGTTTTGCGAGTGTTTCGTGCTGTAATAACGTGCTGACAGTTTTGAAGACTTTCAGTAAAGGGAGGAAAAGGTTCCATTTCATTACTTACATTAGTTAACTGTTAAATTGTCAAAATACACTCGGCAAACCTCGTGAACTCGAGTTGTTCGAGTGTTACAAAAGAACGATGAATTCGTATCGACCATGTAATGATTTTCAAGCGACTAGGTAAAAATAATACACCCCCTTCACGTGACAGACTTCAACCAATCGTAAGCCAGAATTTCATAAAAAAATCAGCAGAGGTGGGGACAGAGTCTGACAAATCTGTTTCATATTTTGATATTTTACTTTAATGGCAACCCTACAACAAAACGTTTTGATTATCATGATGAATTTAACTTTTCAATCGTCAATTTACCTTTCTTATGCAGCAATATACCCTTATCACCTACATATGTGGTTTATATCTCTCAGTTGATTCGATACGCAAGAGCATGCTTTATGTAAGAACAAGTTCTGAAACGAGGTAAGTTATTGACAAAACGTTGATAAAACAAGAACATCAAACGTCTCCTTTAAAGTCAGCAATTTGTATGTTCTATAGTCGGCACATGACCTCGTCAGCAAATACAATCTATCATTGAATCAAATGCTGACTGACGTTTTTCACACTAATCATTAGGCCATTTTTACTAGGGCTGTCACGTTTCCCCGAAATAACCGAAAACCGCGGTCTAAGTTGTTCGGGTTCCATTTTTCCGAATTTCGGTTCGGTTCTGGTTTATATATTAGAATATATTTTATACAAAAAAAAAATGGCTTCGAAATCAAAAGAATGATGACGATAACAATGATAAATAAATATCACAACTGAATTCTACTTCATTTCATGACGAAACATTTGTCACGAAAGGATTAGGTAATTATCAAAACAAGCAATAATGGTCAGGTTGTAGCTAATAGTCGGCCTAGTAGTCCTAAACACCGATGTCAAGACGTTAACATGGATAAGATATGGTGAACGTAACGTAACAAATAACGATTTTTGTATGTTAAATTCATGAATTTGAGGTTTGAAATAGATGTAAATTACCGAACCGAAAAACCCGAACCAAACCGAAAATTTACAGAACCCGAAAAAGTTTGGAACCGTGACAGCCCTAATTTTTACATTGTTTAAGGATTTTCCCGTTAATTCCAAATCTTATCAAGGGGCACATGGTGGGTGTGAACGGTCGGTAGCGGGTGCTTACTCCTCCATCACATCTATGTTTTTAGTACAAATGAGGGACCTTTGGCCAAGGATACTCTGTGACAAATTTGACAAAAATTGGTCTAAGGGTTCTGGCCATTAGGTTATGGTTAAGTTAAGGCCCATATCTAAAAAAAATTGACGCACATCGCACACCGCGCAAATGGCCACAGCATTAGCTAAGAGTTTAACAATTAAGCAAGAAGGCAATGGTCAATATCGCTTACCTGAATCACTCTAACTCAGCTGTTCTTGAACATCAGCCTTTTTTCGTATTTTGCTATGTAAAATGTTGATAGTGAATTGTTGACCGAACCTACCCAAGAGGGGGAATAATTTGAACAAACATGAGTCTACACTACTAAGGGTGCTTCCAAATCAGCATGACAAATCCATCTTTTGATTGTAATGAAAAGAAAAGTTTAAATATATTATTTTTGTTTTATATTCTTATTAAAGTCTGATTTAAAAGAAGTTGAATCTTAAAACTCCCAGAGAATGCTTTCATATCAAATTGACTAACCATAAGGGGTATGCCTTAGCTGTTCAAAAGAAAAAAAAATAAATGATTTTTTCTTAGATATTCCTTAGTAAAATCGTCCATAATATTGTTTTCCCACCTTACCCATGCGATTTGATGTACATGTTATATGTACATATGTTTACATTTGCAAATTCTTTCCTCTATATAACATTACTGAAAGCAATGTGTACATGTATAAACTCGGGTTCCTCAGGTCATACACATTCGACGTAATTTCTCAGTGACGTCATAAAGAGTCGACGCGCAATCAATGGATTGCCGTTGAGTTAGAAAAATAAAACACTTCACACGTTAAAGATCATAATCAGGCAAATATAAAATATGAATAAGTTACAAATGTTAATGTAAGTAATAAGGTATCATTTTTAAACATATATCGGGATATAAATACGGGTTGGTACAAGATCAAATTTACGATAAAACCCGAAGGGCTTTATGAAATTTGATCTCGTGGACAAACCCTATTTATATTTCGATAGATGTTTAAAAATGATACCTTTTTTCTTAATTAAATCAACACTATGTAATTAAACTTTCAAATAGTTTCAACTTTTCTGGATCCGTGGTTTAAAAAAAAAAAACACACACACACACACACAAAACATGTACTATATTTTTACTGTTTAAAAAAATCCATCTCCCCTTATAAAAGGGGTAGCACTTGAGCAAACATACATATAAATTCCCTTTCTTGAAGGATGCTTTGTGCTTAGTTTAAATGAAATCGGTTCAGTGGTTCATGAGATGAAGTTGAAAATGTAATAACAGAGGGACGTTAAATGACAGGTGAACAGAAGAGCTCATTTAAATGTTTGGTTCAGGTGATCTAAAGATAATATGATTAGTTTAACGTACAGAATGAGCTTATTGATAAGATTTAAAGAACGAAAGTTTAATTTTATTGTATCCATATATATATATATATATATATATATATATATATATATATATATATATATATATATATATATATATATATATATATATATATATATATATATATATATATATATATATATATATATATATATATATATAAACTAGGGATGACAATCGATTAAAGAATTACCAATCGGTTAACGGCAAGGTGTTTCGACCGATTAATCAATTAATCGTATCAGAAATTCTAGACATATATCATCAATTTCATCAAGCTTAACTCAAAAAACAAGGCTATAAAGATGTTACATGTAGAAATGCTATGTTTATATTTTCACAAAACACAATATTTTACTTCAATTTTAATGGGCGAAACAAAACAAAAAGATAAAAGAAATCAAGAAAGAGAACGAGAGACAGAAAAAAAATTGGAAACACATGAAACATGCTTGAAGTCTAGGACACATTAATTGAATTCAGAAATGATGTAACGCAAGCTCATTCTGCATTTTCACTACACTCAAAACTAAGTCAGAACTATCACATAATTTATGATGTCTGTTTAATAATATAATTTGGTAGGTAATTGGTAACAAGAGAAGAGGTAAGATACACATTATAATCAGTTCAGTGTATTTAACGATCATTTAATTAAAATCATTAAAAAAAAGAGAGGACGGACTGGATAATGACATGTTGTTTAAATAAAAATCAACATCTCGAAAACTGACCAGTTACAGTTAATCCGGAGAGCCTGAGTTATCTCCAAATCAGCTTAAGGGGATGAAGGACACATGGTCACATGACTCTGTTTAACTACATGTACGTCATAGTCTCCTTTTATATAAGTGCAAAACGTGTAAACCATCTGTTTCTGTATAAATTTTGACAATTTTTTTTACTTTGATTACCATCTTATGCACTGTTATATAAAATAAAGAGTTTTTACATTCTTGTAAAAATTAACAAATTACGGAATATGTTGTTCAACAACTCTGTTTCCTTCACTGCACGTACAAGTCGGTGACGTCATACACGATCTGTTAGTAGAGCAAGATAATACTCGGTGAATATACTGGCAGTTTTATTATGTAAAAAAAAAAAAAAAAAAACAAAACAAAAAAAAAACAAAAACAAAAAAACAAAAACAAAAACAAAAACAAAAAAAAAAAAAAAAACAAAAAAAAAAAAAACAAACAAACAAAAAACAAAAAACAAACAAACAAAAAAAATGTCATAATCAGTATATGATGAAATATTTTGAGAAACGGAACACAAAAAATATTTTCGCATGGCTGATGACGGAAATCTTATGTAGGTAGATCCATCAGAAGGAGTACTTGCCCATGTCAATATTTTTTTAAAGAATGAATAATTGATTAAATGAAGAAAATAAACATTTTTAAAATTCTTTTACTAACAATATTTATCATTACATCTACTGAAAAGCATTCTTCCAAAAGATATTGTTCTATTGATTATGAATTTAAGTTAAAAAACATTTTCCACAAAAACCTATGACATCATAAGAGAATGGAAATACCTTAATCAAGTCAATGAATGGCTTGTATTTAAATGTTAATTTACGTATATTATATGATAAAATTTCTTGCAAATTAAGTTTTACGTTGTTTAAGTTGAAAAAAAAAATGAATAGCAAGATTTTTTTTTTTAGCTCAAAGTCCTTCTTCCCCTTTAATAGAGAGATGAATGTGGTAAAATTTCAAATATTTTAATTTGTTTTTCAAAATTGTATTTTTAGGAAATTGTATTCAAATTAACACTAATATTATTTTTCCCGACTATCCGAATACAGATTTTCTGACCAATAACCGCAACGGTTGTAGCCGGTTAATCGATAGGAAATTGTCATCCCTAATTATTACATATAAATCGTTTGAAAATAAGAGTATACATGAAGATTTACAAATTATAAAAGAAACCAGTGCATCATTTAACATAAACATGAATCTTACATTTGTAGAAAATCGCAGAGGAGAATGTATGAACACGAGACTAATAAAGGAAAATCGGCAAAGGTATTTCTCTTTCTCAGCATAGAGCCTATTAATTTCATATTGAAAATATATTATTGTACAGATCATTTTGAGCTAAATCATCTCTATCAATTCCGATATTTCGAGGGAGAGCAATGAAATAAAATGTGAAATTTGTGTGTTTTTGCTTTATAATTTTTTTTTCTGAACAGGTAAATCGGATCCTCATAATCCATTCTTCATTTCTAAGTCGTAAAGTTCTTTCTAAAGATAGCTGAGAGGCAAATGACAAAGAATAAAATGTTGGCAAAATCTTTTCAAAACACATTTATTTAAAATTAAACAAGGGAAATTATATTCATTTAAAAACTACTAACAAAGTCATAAAGAAACAAGATTTATGGGAAATTATTTCTTATGGTGGAAGGATATTAAAAATTCAAACACACACATTTGTTACATTTAATATCTTGGAACTTTAGTCCCGCATATGTTTACTCCGAGAATATTTTCCGTTGATATATGCTAGGAATATTAAATATATAGGTTTCATTATATATTTTTGAACATTTTACATATTCACTCAACAGACTTTGCCAAGAAATGAAAATATATTAAAGAAGCATAGATAAAATTTACACTTTTTTGTCTGAAATTTTACATATATTGACCAATATTTCAAAATTAACATCACTGACCCCAACTTTTTCTTTCATTATTTTAAATTACACGGCACTTCCGACCGATCACCACTAAGGTCATAAAAACTTTGATACAAGAATATATTTTAGTGCCTACTTAGATTTTTAATACCCCAAATATGATACTTTTTAGTGCAAAAAGTCACAAAATAATTGAAGCGCATTAATTTGCATGATTTATTCAAAGATACATATTATTCAAACTATTTTTACGTAAAACAAGATTATATTTATTGTCATGATTACATCCGATAAAATATGATGAAGCTTAAAGTGATTAACCTAAGAGTTACAATTTAAGACCGAAAGGGTTAAATTAATTGTACCGTTGCTCAGTAAAATGTAAACTGACCCCCAATTTCCTTTTTGATTTTGAATAATGCTACACGTATACTTATGAGTACTTACCTAAAATATACGTTCTCAAAAAATCCTTGATATAACTAATTTTACGAGTGACACACTTTAAAGTAATATTAAACAGGATGCTACAGTCTGAATTATATAAAATCTTCACTATTAGTGCCTTCAGCCACGAAATTTCATAACGCGCTAACGCTCGTTACTCATTTTATTTGCACAGACGGTTGCAGTAATGGACTACATACTTCGAAGAAATAATGATTCAATGCTTATAAACATACACACACACCTTAACACACACATACACAATATATATATATATATATATATATATATATATATATATATATATATATATATATATATATATATATATATATATATATATATATATATATATATATATATATATATATATATATATATATATATATATATATATATATATATATATATATATATATATATATATATATATATATATATATATATAACTATTAACGCAATATTTATCAACTATTAATGCAATAATTTATGAAATTAAGCGATGCATTTCAACACTTAATGATACTCATATCATTAAGTGGCGTTTTATCATTAGCAGTTGCTACAGAGCATCATTGGGAATAATAAATTGCAAAACATGTCTATCAATTATTCAAAATTTTAATTGTAATGGGAATGAGTAAATAAAGCTCAAAACAACGTGGCGTGTGTCTATAAAATATATATTTTTTCTATAGGTCAAATTCGCCAGTTCAAGATGGATATATACAGGATCTGCTGTCTGAAGGCCAGGAAATACACCGCGTAAAAAATTCCTAATCTATAACGTTGAAATAATGATGGAATATTTGCACCTGATTTTCGATTGCTTGTTTATATATGCTTCCAAATCAAAGATGGAGATAAGAAGATATTCAGATTTATTGCTTTGGAAAAATCATATTATATTGTTAACAATAAGTAGACTAAGTGAATTTCAGTTTTGAAAGCTTGTAAAGGTATGATATCTTTCTCTTTATCACGCCATATTCCTTAAGCGAAGATATTTCTTTCGTGAAATAGATATGCTTAGGTTGGAAGTATTAAGTCATTCAACCATGATTTATGAAACTGAAATTCTCTCCTATTTTTTGCATTCAAACTGTTCATTTATTTTACTTGAATACACGTAATGATATATTTTAAAAGGTCATTTTAATTAAAACAAGCATGCAGTTAATCCCAGTGAGAAATAACAATATATTCTTTTAACGAGGCATTTCGGTTATTCTGAAAACAATTACTTTTTGTTACAGTATTGTCCTGATGAAGAAAGTGAAAGGTATTTTACCCATGTTTATAGAATTTCGTAAAAAAAATACGTCAGAAATTATTAAGAATATCTATCTATCTATCTATCTATCTATCTATCTATCTATCTATCTATCTATCAATTTATCTATCTATCTATCTAATCAATCAATTTATCTATCTATCTATCCATCCATCTATCCATCTAACTATCTATTCCTTCATGTATTATTTTGTTTTATTATTTACTAAATTTATTCATTTATTTTTGTAGCGAAAACAATGTTTCCATGGAAAACCATTCAATGGCTCAACCTTCACAAATAGGTGATCATGATTATCAAGACGCAATATCCTGTCCAAATCCTAATTCTAGGTAAAAATAAAAGCACACAGTCTATCAAAACTTAGTGTTTTAATGTAGAACAACAAAAGTATTGTGAATAGTAAAAAAAAAAAAAATTAATATACATTATCACTATGCTTTGAAAATGGGGGAAAAAACGCTTACAATTCTTATTGTGTAAAGAAGACAAAAAAAAAAAAAAAAAGTAAAGAAAAATAAAAAAAAAAAAACAAAAAACAAACAAACTAAAAGCATTATTAAAAGTTCTTCGATATCCTTTCTTTTCTTTCAATCCTATATATCTGAAATCAATACATCAAAAGGTCCTAAATACATGAACAATTATTTAGCCTTCAAGAATATTCAAAACGATCTCTCTCTCTCTCTCTCTCTCTCTTTCTCTCTCTCTCTCTCTACATCACTATGTTGGTGACAAACTGAATATCAGTTGTTTGCCTATATGAATCAAATAACCTTTCATATCTTAGAACTACTTATATTATCTTTCTAGATATAATTTTACCATCAGATGTAATCGATATGCCATTCATTTTAAGTAATTAAGATTTTGCATTCTTTTTAATAGGCTTCAGCTTTGCAATGAGGAAGAAGAAGGAAAAATATATGAATCATACGGGAAAAATACATAAAATACTCCTTAACAGGAATGATTATCGAGAATTTTATAATTGATATCATTTTTTTTTCAATTACAAATATAATCAACTCATTTAAAGTTATATCTATGTTTTGTGAAAGATATGGAATAGAGTACTAACTTTTCAGTTTACAAAATGCATACACTTATCTATAATGCTATATTCATCCACTCGCAACGGAGTTGGAGAGGATATAGTAACGCAAAAGTGTGTGTGTGTGTGGGGGGGGGGGGGGGGGTTGTGGGCGTGTTATGTCCTATGCGAAACGGAATTGACGTAATTTGCGCCGGGTTCGATGTCGAATGCTGCCTTGATTTATTGATATACTCTTTGGGAGGGAATGCTCCGCTTTGCGGTGTCCTCGTGAAAGTTATTTCAATTTAATTAACATATGAAATCAGAATATCAAATCAGATTTATTTGTATTGTAAATTCATTTAATAAATCTATTAATTCATCATTTGCTGATGTTTTTGCATATATTCTTAAAATTGAAATTTAAGTACATGTATATTATGGAGCATTAAGGATATTTAAGACTATAATCAGCAGAGAAAATGTCTTCCAAATCATGCATGTGAAGGAGAGAGAGAGAGAGAGAGAGAGAGAGAGAGAGAGAGAGAGAGAGAGAGAGAGAGAGATTATTTCAAGGTTTTAGTTTAAGAGAAATGGCATAATATTCTACACTTCAGCATTTAATATTAGTATAAGCCATGAATCGACATAGAATAGATAGATAGATAGATAGATAGATAGATAGATAGATAGATAGATAGATAAATAGATAAATAGATAGATTTCTCACAAGAATTGGGCACATTGGCTACAATGCTCACCTGATCCACTATGGTCCTGCTGCTGCTCTTCATCAGCAGATTTCTTTTTACTATATATTCCAAGTTTAATTCCAACACTTCCCAGAACTTCATGATTTAAACAAATTTGCATCTACTCTATCTTAAAAAGCTTTACATTGATAGTGAAGAATGAGCATTTTACCAACATTTAGACAAAGATTTTTTAAAGATTGTATATCTATGTATACACTCATTATTATTTGCGGCCCAACAAATCCCCGGAAATCCAGTGTTTCTTGAGTTTAACTTTATGGATGCCAAATGACAAAGGACAGACAACAGATGGATGTCAGACGTCTTTTAATCGGAAGGCTCCAGTAATCTTTTTAAACACCCTGACATTTTGAACAATTCCTAACCAGAACATGTAATCTGCTATTTTCAATCTGTCCTTTTGTTTTAAAAAGTCAAATGGATCAGTGTACATAACTTTCCCTTTATTATTTATAAAAAAAAAAAAACCTTGTATAATTCCTATAATTATGATCAATTAAGAGAGAACCATCGTAAAACCTAAATCATAAAAGCTTTCATTTGATATAACAAAAAACAACTGACTCTTCAAATTAGGGGCTTATAGGTGCCAAAAGTCTTTAATTAAATACTCTTTTAATAATCAATATGTTGTTAGACAATATTAAAAGCAAAAATGTTCATCTTAATGATTTGGAACTACGTGTATAAATACCTGTAATTTATACATGTATCAGGTATGTTGATTTCATGTTACAAAATCAAGGGTCTAGATTGCTAAAAATTCCATCATTTATATTTCACTAATACATTTGGAAAGAAAGTTTTTCACAAAACATAAGAAAAAAACCATTTAAACTGCAAAACAGCCCATTCAGGACTTGGAGATGTTGGCCCTAAATACTTCAATTCTACAAATATCTTGGAAATAAAATAAAACTTCTGAATAGCTGCTTAACAAATAGTGCTCAAAATCATAAGACCTTTTATTTCATAGCGTGGAAAAAGGATTTACCACACGAAGAGGGGTTAAAATGACCAATTATCTGAAGTCTATATATCATAAAGATCAGTATATTTTCACATGTTACTAAAGCAGAATATTTTATGTCAATAAGCTGGACTAAAGGTATTGATACCTTGATCTTATGTTACTTAAAGTTTCTTGAACTTTCTACTTTGCGAATTGGTGCATAGATGCTTTCCCAGATAGCAAGACATTGTTGGGCCAACGTTGGCCCAATTTTTTTTCCAACGTTGGTCCACTGTTGGTAGTCCTACGTTGGCCCACGGTCATTTTGCTCATCGGCCCAACGTTGGTCCAACATGATGGTATATTGTTGGGCCAACGTAGGTATAATTGTAAGCCAACTAACAGCCAACCTTAACAACTGGTTGGTTAGGTTGGCCCAATGTTGGGCCTTTGTTGAAATGTCAGATGGCATATTGTTGGGCCAACGTAGTTATTATAGTAAGCCAACTAACAGCCTACATAGAAACAACATTTGCAATCGGTTAGTTAGGTTGGCCCAACGTTGACCCTTCATTGAATGATTGGTCCGATATTTACGGTTTATTGGCCTTAAGATTCTTTCTGTTGGCCAATTGTTGGATGAAACTTACATCTGTTTAAATAAATTGAATGAATACTTCTTGAAAATACATTTATAAATAATTCTTTATATAGACCTTTCTCATAATTGTTTAAAAAAAATAATACACACTTCAACCTGCATTCATAATGCATACACGTTCAAAGAAAACATTACAAGTGATTCACTGTAAAATTATTTATAGATATATATCAATTCAATCAGAATTTACAAAATTACTTTTAAAATAGATAATGGTGGAAATGTATGAAAAAATATTAATTTAAAGTTCTTAATCCTGGCTCACTTCCTCTATCACTGTCCTTTTGTTTTGTTTCCCACTCTTTCTTTTTTCCTCCCTTTGTCGCCTCCCCAGGCCTTCATCTTGATCTTAGACATACGTACTTCTTACAGTCCTTTATGTTCTTCAGTTTCATTGTCAGTTACCACTACAACATTTGTTTTCCTTACAGTCTCTGATTGAAAATACAAATAATTTGGTAATGGAAACAAAGCAAGTACTGGTACAGACTCCAATGTATAAATCATGTAATTAAGTCTTTTAAAGACAACGATGTAAAATACTACTAGTACATGTTGATCTATAAACCTTAGTATCCTTGTTAAAATCATAATCGTGTATGCAATAGACAATAGATGGAGACAAGTTGAAAGATGTTTTTTACCTTACTTATTATTGTATTTCTTAATGAGCACTAGAAGTTATTGTAAATAAAAGTTTAAAGTACATGTATGTGCCAACTGTATACACATATATAATTCATAGTTACATTAACTTGTATAGTGCTTGTGAGCATAAACAAGAAAAGGATGAATTCCGAACAATTTTAACAGTAAACTTGAATTAATATGAATAATTATACTTACATCGCTTCTAAGATGCAGCTGTAACAATGGTATAATCCATAGTTTTTAAATATCCCTTCAAGTACTTGCTCTGCACTTTGAGTCTATCACCCACCTGTGAGCAATTGAATCTGACAGCTCACCCAACAGTTTGGTGTTTTAATCGCCGCGACTCTCCAAGCTTTAGCGAACGCCTAACTTTTGTTTCAATTTAATTATAAAGCTGTGTTATCTTGATTTATGTATATGTAGGCTTCATTCACATACTGTTCTTGGGAACTTTTTAAATGTTATTCAGTCTTCTCTTATTCTCATGAATACAACGAAACTAATAAATAATCATGCACCCACTTAAAAAAAACAGAACAAAAAACTTTTTGGTGCTGTGATCACTTTAGTTCAAAGATAAGAATGGTGAAAATATCAGATCTAAACAGATGCAGTCATCCAATTAAAAGCAAGGACAGCGAATGCCCTCTATTATTTCAGAATGTGCATCTAAATTAATGTTTTGCAATCAAATAAGCTTGCAACACAACAGTTCAATGGGGCAACATTGGGAACATAACGATTTAAGAACTTTGAACCAACGTTGGCCCATTGTAACGCTCATCAGCTAACATGGACACCATCATTTAGTTGGCAGTACAATAATTGGGCCAACATTGGCCCAATATAAATATCCCATCTTGAAACACTTATACATGCTAACATCGGGCCAACGCTGGGCCGACGTACTACTACCAACTTGATTAGACATTTTCAGTAAGGGTGTATTGCAAACGTTGGGCAAAACATTGGGCCAACATTAGAATCCTAACTCCCTTTGAAAGTTGAGCGAATATAGAAGTTGGTTACGTTGGACCAACGTTGGGCCAACATAAGAATCCCAACATTATCAAGAAGGTTGACATGGTAACATTGGTCCAACGTTGGGCCAACGTTGTCCACCCAATGCCAACCATACAACCATTTCCCAATGTTGGCCCAACGTAGTCATGCTATCTGGGTTATACCAAAATTAGTAGAAATTAGCTGAGTGCTGTGAGTGATGCTGAAAAATTCCCAAGTTTAAAACCCACACATAATCCATGACACTTGACAGCAGACAAAAACAGATACCAATGGGTTACCTGGATCACTTAGGTGACCTAATAAAAACAAAGCTGACGTGCCTCAAACAATTTAACGAACTCTTATCTATTGTTTGAATTGGGTTACCTCTTACTTTTGTTTCCATACCTATGATTCCAAAACTACATGAATAAAATAATGAGTGTGGCGACTGGCCAAAAAGCTCCATTCCAACTTGTTCCAGAATATCTTTTCCAACTAGCTCCATCATATTGTTGTACCTTTATGAGTTGCAGATTTGCTAACCTAAAATTAATGATAACTGATTTAAAATAACACATGCATTTTTTTGAAGCACTTGTTCATGAATTCTTCATGTCCAGATTGTATCCACTAGTTACACTAGCCTGAACAAAAAATTAATTTATTTGCCCAGAATTTTATTTATTTGCTTTTTACTTGCAAGGAAATTTGATAGCACTATCGTCACACTATTGTTCCCATTGCCTGTACACATTTGAGCTGTCAATGCGAAAGAGTGTCTTGGATATTGTGGTGGAATAACCTGTCATTATTTTTTTGTGATTAATGAATAAATCAAATAAACATTTTAAAGCGTATTTTGATGTTATTGAT